GTGCAAAGAAGGATTGTCCAAGACTACTGTTGATTTGTGCGAGGTGGTTCAATCAATTCTGAACATGTATATAGCTTGCTTTGCAGGGCACAACTGTGATACCCGAACCGAGACAAGATGGGGTCCTCCCCTATCCCACCCCATTTCAGGAGGCAATGCAACCTTATTTCAACACTTGCAATGGAGTAGGGTCTTCTAGCATACCCGAAGGTAGCAGAATATCTTAAAAGGTATACAACAAATCATGAGGTTCCAATAGTTGGCTTTGGGACCAGGCGTTTGTCTAGTGCAGGGGTCCTCAAACTTTTTAAACCAGGGGCCAGTTCACTGTCCCTCAGACCGATGGAGGGCCGGACTATAGTTTTTTTTAAAAAAAATCAATAAAAAATTCCTATGCACATTGCACATATCTTATTTTGCTGTGTGGAAGGGCCCTTAGAGGGGGTTCTTTCTAGCCCTCTTTAGGCAGTAATTCCAGGAGCAGAGAATGGGAAATCTTCCTATTTCTAGTCTGAACAAAATCTGGCTACCAGTATTAAAAAAAACTCTAAAATTATAACTGTAAATAAAGAACAACACTCAAACACAGGGGAACTCCAGACAAGAAACAATCAGGGCCAGCTAAGGATTCTCCCTAAAAACTGTCAGGCTATGAAATGGTAATCAAGGTGGCCAATTGAAACATTCATACCTACCTCCAACAGACAAGAGTTCTTTCTCCCACCCTGGATCTTCCACAATTTTCCTAGTTAAAGGTTTTCCTCTGACATGAAGTCCAGTCGTGTCTGACTCTGGGGTGTGGTGCTCATCTGCATTTCTAAGTCGAAGAGCCGGCGTTGTCTGTAGACACCTCCAAGGTCATGTGGCTGGCATGACTGCATGGAGCGCCAGGGCAGCCTCCCTTGGCTGGCTCACGGTAACCAATCAATCCAACTGTACATTTACAAACTAAGCAAGTATGGGCATGTTATACAGTTTAAACCTTTGCACTTTAAAGTTCTACACACAGGTGGCACCACTCACGCCGTCACAATATTATTATTATTATTATTATTATTATTATTATTATTATTATTATTATTATTATCTGCCAGCTAATGGCAAGACCAGTTCTACTTGATCCATCAATGTTCCTGGGTGTTGAGGTAACAGTTGCCATGAGTGTCCTTTAAGTTTCTGGGTAAGCTTCAGCTAAGTGCAGGTAGAGTTATAGTAACAATAAAAAAACTTTAGGTTCTTGTAGGTTTTTTCGGGCTATAGGGCCATGTTCTAGAGGCATTTCTCCTGACGTTTCGCCTGCATCTATGGCAAGCATCCTCAGAGGTAGTGAGGTCTGTTGGAAATAGGAAAATGGGTTTATATATCTGTGGAATGACTGGGGTGGGGCAAAGAGCTCTCTGCTGAAGCTAGATGTGAATGTTTCAGCTGACCACCTTCATTAGCATTTGAAGGCTTGGCTGAGCCTGAGAAAATGTTCTGTTGAGAGGTGTTAAGATGTGCCTGGTTGTTTCCTCTCTGCTGTTTTGCTATAGTAATTTTAGAGTTTTTTAATACTGGTAGCCAGATTTTGTTCATTTTCATGGTCTCCTCCTTTCTGTTGAAATTGTCCACATGCTTGTGGATTTCAATGGCTTCTCTGTGTAGTCTGACATGGTGGTTGTTGGAGTGGTCCAGCATTTCTGTTTTCAAATAATATGCTGTGTCCAGGTTGGTTCATCAGGTGCTCTGCTATGGCTGACTTCTCTGGTTGAAGTAGTCTGCAGTGCCTTTCATGTTCCTTGATTCGTGTTGGGCGCTGCGTTTGGTGGTCCCTATGTAGACTTGTCCACAGCTGCATGGTATACGGTAGACTCCTGCAGAGGTGAGAGGATCCCTCTTGTCCTTTGCTGAACGTAGCATTTGTTCGATTTTCTTGGTGGGTTTGTAGATTGTTTGTATGTTGTGTTTCCTCATCAGCTTCCCTATGCGGTCAGTGGTTCCCTTTATCTCTATCTCTCCAAAGGGACTCAGGGTGGCTCACACAAGCACTCCAAATGCTGTACACCTAAAGTACACAATACATAAGCATAAAAACAATGACAACATAAATCTACACAGCAATTACATATATAAGTCACATAATTAAATTCCATAAAATGCAGCAGTATCTGGGGATAAGAATGGCGGTCTTCATTCAAGTATTTATCCAAAGTGCTCGAGTGAAACAAATGACTGAGTCCTCGGGTCTCAGTGATTTGTATCTTCCACACTTCATTTATTTATAAAACAGATTCTTCAGATGATCAAAAATGTTGTGTTCAGAGCAAAGTTTGTTGAGTGCTCACAAGTCACAATGTAACTTCAGTCTTATGTCAACCTGCTTGTTTGCTTCTGCTAATCTGAGCAGTGGAAAAGCTCTAAATCACCCATACCAGGCTGTTTAAGGGACATCCTGTCTGCCCAGGTGATAAATGACACTTCATAGCATAGTCCCATCTGCAGAGCTATTACTTTATATTGAGTTATGCAGGCTTATGGCCACTGTGACTCTTGCAGACTTGGGACTTTGGCTAGTAGGAGTTGCTCCCCACCCCCATCTTTTTCTTTTCTTTTCTTTTCTTTTCTTTTCTTTTCTTTTCTTTTCTTTTCTTTTCTTTCTTTCTTTCTTTTTTTTGGAAACTCATCTATGGCTATTTCATTACTTCCTATATATCCAGTCTTATTCCCCTAGGCAACCAGGGGTATTATCCATTATCTAATATGGAGAACAGATGATAACCCTCTTTAGGAAGAGGAAATGCATGCCTGAAATTCAGAGCTGAAACGTCAAGTCCAAACCATGGTGGAATTTCAGCTGTAGCCTTGTGATGATATATAGGAAACACTTTCTTTATATCAAATCTGTGGAGATTTGTTACCTGTTTCAAAAATATAACTACAGCATATCTACATATGTTGCAACTCTGGTACATGGAATAGTATAATTTTATTTTTCATTGCAGTATGTGTTTTGTCAGGTTTCATTTGGAAGGATTTGGGCACTTAATATGAGATAGTAATATCAGGTTTTTTTCCAGAAAATTTTCTTTATGCTGTGACAGACATTTCGATAGCTGTGTTATTTTCTAAGAAAATGCATACCTTTATTAAATACAGGGTTCGCTATATTTAGAATAATAGGGCTGCTGGACAGTTCAAACACTTGATGTTGATTATTTTTATTTGCACAGCACAGAATGTTTATAAACCTCATTAATGTTTTGGGCATTCTGAATGTTTTGAAAGTATCTCTTGACGAGAAAAAAAAATTAAGGAAGGGAAGAAGAAAAACCTTCAGTTGATTTTTATGGCCCTGAACCAAACCATACAGAGAATAAAACAGAATAGCATAAGAATGTAAACACAATGCATGGTGCCTGCAATAAAATGAGTTGCTCCAGTTCACATTCTCATCCAAAGTTGGGCATAGTGTGACCCACAGCCAATATGTGGTTTTTGGACCCCTCTTTTCTGGTACCTAAAGCCACACAAACTTCCCAATTGTTTTTAATTACATGAGATTTGGAAATCTTTGCTGCATTATCTCTTAAAACGTTCCCTGTCAACACGTGAAAATATGTGAAAATATCCCCATCTCTTACAAGCCCCCCAAATATCTCTTCTAATCACCAACTACATTCGAAGCAGAACATTTTGTTCATGTACAAAAGGAGCTATTTGTGTGCTTTCAAATAACATTTATCTCATGGTATAATGGCTAAGAAATTCAATTCAAATATATTTTATTAGGAAATTTAAAATGGGAAAGGACAAGTGGAAAGATAAAAGAGGTGAATATTAATATGATGGATGTGAATAAGAAAGAAGAGGGTCTGAGGAAACCAGGGAAGGCAGGTAGATTGCATTAAAAGCAGGAAGCCCAGCCTATAGAAATCATATTTATTTATAAAGGAAGGAGAAATATGTCTCGCTGTCCACATTGTCCACCCAATGCACAATTTTATTTCATTATATCTTACCCTTCCCAGTTTACTGTCTTTTCTAAATTCAAAATGAAACATAGGAAGGAGGGGAGGATTCAACTGTAAACTGGGTTGCTGTGAGTTTTCGGGCTGTATGTCCATGTTCCAGAGGCATTCTTTCCTGACGTTTTGCCCACATCTATGGCAGGGATCATCAGAGGTTGTGAGGTCTGTTGGAAACTAGGCAAGTGGGGTTTATATATCTATGGCATGTCCAGGGTGAGAGAAAAAACTCTTGTCTGTTAGAGGCAAGTGTGAATGTTGCAATTAGCCACCTTGATTAGCATTGAATAGCCTTGCAGCTTCAAAGCTCAGCTGCTTCCTGTATGGGGGAATCCTTTATTGGGATGTATTAGCTGGCCCGGATTGTTTCCTGTCTAGAATTCCCCTGTTTTCTGAGTGTTGTCCTGATTTTAGAGTTTTTTGATACTGGTAGCCAGATTTTGTTCATTTTCATGGTTTCATCCTTTCTGTTGAAATTGTCCACATGCTTGTGGATTTCAGTGGCTTCTCTGTGTAGTCTGACATGGTGGTTGTTAGAGTGGTCCAGCATTTCTGTGTTTTCAAATCATTTGCTGTGTCCAGGTTGGTTCATCAGGTGCTCTGTTATGGCTGATTTCTCTGGTTGAATTTGCTGAACGTACCAAGAACAAGCCACTAGAGTAAAGACAACAACCCACCCAGAGGAAAAGTGTTCTTGCCGTACATCAAGGGAACCACTGACCACATAAGAAAGCTGATGAAGAAACACAACATACAAACTATCTTTGGACCCACTAAGAAAATCCAACAAATACAGCTTGGAAAACTCACAGCAACCCAGTGATTCTGACCATGAATGCCTTTGACAATACAATTGTACACTATTTAACGAAAGTGAATTATTGGATGAAGTTTCATGGGCATCAATTACCTATGTATGCATTCATTGTCAACATAATTCTTACAGCTTTAACTGTGTTTTGAGCATTTTTTCTTTTTCTTTGTTTCTTTTTTCAGATTTGATTGTGGGGGCATTTGGAGCTGGAAAAGTAGTTGTTTACAGGTATTTGCTGTTACTCCCTATTCGTTTATTTATACTCCGTCCTATATCAAAGACCTCAGGATGGGTTGCATGAATATTTCATAAATTATGGGCTTGGTTTTCTTCAACAATATAGTATAGGTTGTAGTTCTGAACAATGGCAGCTCCTTTCTTGTGGTTGATTTCCCAAAGAAAACCCCAATACTCCAGTTTTTGAAATACAATGCAAGAGCCTTTTGTTTGGGAAAGCATTTATGATTTATATACATCATAAATATTCTTCTGATGTATATAAATTGAAGTAATATACATGGATTTAGAAAACCAGTGCAACATATGCAGAATTGACCCATAATAGTTTCATACTGTAGCACACTAGAATTGTATGATGTGGCACTTTAAGGTTTTGGTATTGACCTTTGTTGGTATGTGTTGTATTTATCACTATGCTAAGAATGATCACCTTGTGCTCATAACTATGTCTCTGTATATTTCGATAAAAATAGCTAATCCCTATTAGCAGAGACAAACTAGAACTAGATCATAACCATATGTATTAACAGTATAAGCATGAATACATAATAAACATCCAAGGGACTAGCGCATTGTCCCTGTGGAAAGATACATGTGCTCCTCCTGATATGGATACTTCTCATGTGCCTCCCCACAGGAGTTCAAATGTTTATGGTGTACACTGATACAGGAAATGTGACTCATGCTTTCTTTATTCCCATATGCCATCAACATTCACAGAAACTAAATATACTTTATTCCTCCCTTCTTCATGGCCATTTCCTGTCCTATGTAGTGAGTCTTTGTTTATCTCCCCTGCAGAGCAAGACCGGTTGTGACAGTAGATGCTCGAGTCTTGCTCTCACCAGAGATTATAAATCCGGAAAATAAAACCTGTCAGCTTCCTGGTTCTGTGGCTCTAGTTTCTTGGTAAGTTGGTGGTGTGGATCATTTTCAAATAAATCATCCTAATCAACAGACTTAGAAAGTCAAGCAGTGAACATACCAACCTTCTTCAGGCATAACCTACCTCCTTGGAACTCTAAATTCTCTTCTCTTTACTTTGTCTTTTCAACTTTGCTTCCTTCTCTGAAGTAAATGGAGATGCTTTGGCAATGTATGTATATGCACCAAAGCTGAAATGCCTGAAAGAAATCTTAACTCACAGTGTTTGATTTTTTTTTAGCTCTTTCTTTTCTCTCTCTCTCTCTCTCTCTCTCTCTTTGGGATGTTCCTTCTTTGCTGGAGGATTGTCCTTCTGCCTTGTGATAATACTGTAGCCTAAATTTAATTGTTCTTCTGATCGACAGCAGACACATTGACTCAATGGGAACTTGGTAAACGGACATGAATATGAATTCATTCCATCCTACTCTAGTTGTATTTAAGCCCTTTCAACAATAAATCAATATATAGTTGTTAAACAAAATGATTTCGGGAAAAGGGGAATGCCTATTTCACAACCATGCTAGAGAAAGTTTCATCTGGATTATGCATTATTGCATAGTACATATGCACACCATAAACATAACTACATTCTGGACAACTATTACTACTGTGGCCAAGATCCTGCATGGTGTAGCATAACGTAAGAGATCAACATGTTGAACTCTACTATTAGTCCCCAGGACTCACCATTGTGCTTTTCTCTGTGGTCATAATATTGATAGGGGAGATTCATGAGACTGGAGAAGGTTTTTCTATGTTCCTGTAGCCTGACACAGATGGAAGACATCTCCCACTGAGATCTACTCCAAAGGTCCAAGTGGATGATGTCACTGGTCTACATTCTGGACAACTATTGCTTCTTTGGCCAAGATCCTACATGGTGTAGCATATTGTAAGAGATCCACATGTTGAACTCTACCATTAGTCCCCAGGACTCACCATTGTGCTTTTCTCCATGGTTATTACATTAATGGGGGAGAGTTCAAGAGACTGGAGAAGCTTTTTGCTATGTTTCTGTAGCCTGACACAGATGGAAGACATCTCCCACTGAGATCTACTCCAAAGGTCTGAGTGGATGATGTCATTGGTCTACATCTGGTTATGAGAATATGGCCAAATGCTTCTCTGTTCCCCTCTGGCAGCAATGGAAATGCCATTGAAATGTTGTTATCCTAGCACAACAGTGACTCCTGATGGGGCAATTGTGATGTTCCAGAGGGTGGAAGAGAATGGTAGTCTGCAAGAAGCAAAAAAAGACATACCCAGAGATAACATGAACTTACAACTTTGTATTGCACAGAGTATGCGCTTGAGTTTACGTAAAATTATTTGTATGCTCCCTTCAAGAGTGGCATGCTAAAATTAAGGTAGATTGTAGGATGTATCTAAAGGGATATCTAAGGATACACTTTGTTTAAAAGGACTGGACTCTGTTCACTTCAGATACTTGGCTCAAATTAATTCTGTACAATTGTTTTTTGTACCAGATTCCAGTCAACAGATCTAAAGGATTCTAGTATTAGCTAAACTGGCCTTGAGATCTGCCCACCCTTGTTGTACAAAACATGGAATAGATCATCATTCCATTTCTAGAGTCCTGGCAAGAATCAAGAAATGTGTTTGTCCCACTGCTATCCCGATGTCCGGTGTACACATTTTGCAGAATGAGGTGCAAATGAGGTGATTGAAGAATAATTAGGAATAACCTGTTCCAAACCATGGTGGTGGAATAAAGTTTTTAATACTCTACAGTATGAAATAAAAAAAACCAATCTTGAGGGAAACCCAATTTAAATGGTTACAAAAGTCAACTCTTACTTAGTATCAGTTGTATTTACCCTTTAAACTTCATGCAAGTTTAAATGTACAAGAACACAAGTTAGACTGCAACTATTCACCTGATGAGTTTCTTTTTTTAAAATTGCAATGAATTTATATAATGGGGAGAATTCAATATGAAATTTCTTTCCTGTCATTTGATGTCTTATATCCCATTTGATCTCTTTGGGACTTTACCACTTTATTATCTTGAGGACAGTGTCCAAAGCCACTCCAAAATTACTTCCTAGTTTTCTGCTGTCTACCTGGAAACTCCATTCTGTGAGAAAAGAATTTTCTCACAGACAAATATATAACCATATATGTTATGTAGGTGACACAGCTGATAGATGGTTGTGGTTCTGACCATTATGTTATAAAATATGCTTCCCTGAAGATTTTACTCCTGCTGTAGAAAATTTAATCCAGTCTCTCAAAATGATTGAAGAGCAGCTGTTAGTTTTCCATTCTGTAATTTTTCTCTCTCTGTGTAGTTGTTATAACCTCGTGTTGTCCATATGCAAACAATTATTAGGGAAACTCCAACAGACAAATATTTCCTCTGCCCCATGGGATAGATTTCTGTATCTTTTAGCCAGCTGCGCAACTTGTGCAAAATGCCTGTTGATTGACATTTCTAAATAAAATGAATGAAAGGAGATCATCTTAAGCAGTAAAGATTTGGGGAGATTTGGGCTACAGGGCACTATCTGGAAGAAGTAAAATATTGTTTTAACCAAGTGTGATGTTGCTATTAAAATCTGTAAGTTTTCTTTTCATGCGGTCAGAAAAATTCTACAGATTTCATTTACAACCATAAATGTGTTATAATGTGAAGCATAAAACAGATCTAAGGTCCAAAGTCAAGCTTCAGTCCCATAGAAATCAACTGAAAAATCTAGGATTAAGTAACTTCAGCCATGTTAATTTAAACTGGACAACAAAATCCCAGGGTTTGGAAACGTTCCTTTGTTGAACAATGCTGGTTGTCAAAGTCTAGAAGCTGTGCCCCAAAAAGGAACTTTCCTAAGCTTTCCATGACCATGAAAACATCCAAAAGTAGTAAAAGTATTCAAAAGCTGAAATCCCGTAACACAAACTTGCATAATACACTGCCCTACTGTATTTAAATATTTATTCTCCATCCTTATAATGAAATCATTTTGAATAGTTTTAAAACTTTAAATAATTTTAAACCAATCATGTGCAAATCTGAACCCAGTCAGTCATGCCCTGAGCTTTAACAAGTTGCCATCTTTTTGCTTGGCACCAAAGTGACAGAAGCATTCGTGGCACTCAGGCCTTTAAGGAAAGAGTATTTAATTGGGTGCCATGACAAAGAAAACCAAACATTCTTCATGGTCTCTGTGAATGCACACATATGGACTTATGTGCCTGCTGGTTGGGCTGGCTGTAGAGAAGGTGAGGATTGTTGGGACAAAGCCGCCAATGAGGAGGTTCGGTCTCTTCTTGATGAAGAAGAGGATGAGGTCTGTTGTATCCTTCCCTTCTTGGTTGCCACTTGAGCTTGCACGGTGAGCTGTGTTTCGAGTGATTTCCCCAGTGTTGGGGGGATCGGCAGGAAGGAAGCTTCATTGATCCCTCTACCTGGGGCTGTCTGAACTCCTCATGCATGATGTCACTGTGACTGCACAGGATGATTGTGCTAATGCCATGGAGCTCAAGGTTGAGGGAGGCTTGGGTAGCACCAGTTGGGGAGGCTGGCCGCTGAGGCTCACTGGTCTCGAGACCTTGAGTTGAAGATTTTGAAATTCGTGAGGCGGCCAAGGTCCTTGAAGGGGCCACCAATGTCACTGAGATTAACAGGGCAATGGATGCGGAAGGGGCTAAGGACTGTTGGTATAACAGCGTCTTTAGCCTGGCTGCACTTTTCTTCCTGGCTTGGGCTGTGAAGGCCTGGCAATGGTGGCAGGAGCCAAACCACATGCCCCTCTCCAAGGCAGAGCCAGCATTTTGTGTGGCCATTGGGAGTTTGGTTTCTTTGATGCACACTGAGTGCAGCGCTTGAATTGAGTCGTAGACATCTCTTACAAAGTTCCAAAGAGAGCTGCATTTCGGGGGGAAAGGAACTTGGGAGCACAGAGCTTTATGCCCTGGGAGCAGTGGGTAGGGTTACTGCCAAAATTTGAACGATCATACAGCTTGGAAAGCTTTCCGTTGGAGCCTGCGCAGATGCAGTAACTCCATATGTGTGGATTCACAGTAGACCACTTGAAGAAACACGGTTAGAGATATGTAGTCTGTCCTTCCTTCGTCCTCTCACAATGTATTGCCTTGATGGATGAGAAACATAGGAAAGCTCCTCCAGTAGACCTCAAACTTCAGCCTCTTGTCTAAAGGCAGAGTGCTTCTACCACTGTCTTCCAAAGCCATTTAGGGCTTTGAATGTCTGCACCAACAACTTGAATACAAACTGGAATGATTTTGGTAGTTATGTTTTCTGGATGGTGTTCTAGCCAGTGGTAGGAGTAACTTTTTTGTGCGATTTTCTCATAGATTTTTATGTGTGAAAATTCATTGGAAAAATTGCAGTTCATTGAGGAAGTTATTTTAGTACTGTCTATTCAATTATCTTATATTGAGAGAAGTGATTTGTTAGTTTACAATCTGTGTCAATAGTGTTCTGTTGTGCAGTTACATTTTATGGCGGTCGTGAAGCCTTTGACACTGGCAGCATTCAGACTATGCATGTAAGATTATTATTATTATGAATAAAGGCAGGCGGATACAGGATGAGGGGTCCCCCACTTCCTCATTGTTCCTTATCTGCTTCTCTTTCCATCCGCCAATTGTTCTAAAATGCCTGAAAAGATTAATTGTTTCTCAGATTGACAGTTATAAAAGGGTCTAGTTGTTCAATTTGTATATTTTTCGACAGTTATAAACTTGTCTTCATGGTCATAAACCCACCCAGTTCAGCCCTTAGTTGTGTTAACTTTTAAGCCAGCTTCCAAAAACATGGCCTGTTACTTGCAACCCTAAGAAAGGAAAAGGGTGAGCTCAAAATAATGTAACAATGAAGTAACTTCCCTGCTTGAGGATCCTAAAGGCATCAGACTGTTCTTGGAACCCAATTTCCAACAATGTTGAAAATTAAGTAGAACTACCTCCATCTTGAACTAACGTCGTCCCAGCTTTGTGTCTATGTTCCTCATACGAGAGAACTTTGGATCTGGCATGACAGTTTGTCTATAATTTCATATGCTACCTTTTTGGGGGAAACTCTTCTAGATCCTCACTGGCCAAATAGTTTTGCCACCAGATTGCTCTGACCACATATTTATGATAGAAGGGCACGTCCATCAATAGAAGAAACTGATATGTAATCCTATTTATCTACTACTGGTACATTTTTTTAAATTAAGGATTGATTTTCTCCTTGGTGTGTTTCCAGCCTTGAATAAACTTTAAAGTCAGGAGAGCAGTGCTTCTAGCACATCTTTTAAGCAGCCAGCAAAAGAAGGTTCTTTTAGCAGAAGGGCATTTCTCCTAGTAGAAAAGACTTGTGCCTAGTCTTGGAGTTACCATTGCACTTCCCAACAGTAATCTCTTGATGGGATACCACAACACATTTGGGAATACGGCCCAGAAATCCCTTGAGAATCCAGGTCTACAGAATGCAGAGTCTTTATTCTGTGGAAGCTCCATATAGATGGTTGGGATTCCCAATACATAAAGCACAAAGGACCTGATTATATCAAACAAGGACTCTGTATTTCAGCATTGTCTCTGCTTGATTCCTATGGAGGCAAGATGCATACTACCTCTGAAATACAAGCTTGTGCTCCTTCCCTCAAATTACATTGAATAGAAAGTTTAGATTGTAAGCTTCAGGGTAGGGAACTGTCCAATCGGCAATTAGTAGCCTACTTTGGAAACCTTTTTGATGGAAGCGTTGGTATAAATGTTTTTGGCTAAAGGTGGGGGGGGGGTTGAAATAAATAAGAGGGTACAATTTTGTGTTCCAGCTCAGGCAGTGAAATCTCTATGTATAGACCCGCATAAGGCAATAACTTCAACCTATTTTATATTGCTGCAACATGACATTTTGGGTTTTGATCTGCTCAAATCATCTAGGCTAAATCACATGACTTATTATGGTTCTCAGCCTGTGGGTCTCCAGGTGTTTTGGCCTACAACTCCCAGAAATCCCAGCCAGTTTACCAGCTGTTAGGATTTCTGGGAGTTAAAAGACCAAAACATCTGTGGACCCACAGGTTGAGAACCACTCTATTACGCTAATATTTTGCCTTTGTTTATTTATTTCCTATTTCATATGGCCTCATAAATTTAAGCCATGTTCACCTGACTTCTCACTGGGGAAAAATGTTGACTGGAAATAGTGAATTCTTGGAAGGCCTGAAATTTCATATTCATGAAATAAACCTTCATAATAACCCTTGGAGTCCCCAGGAAAGCCCTGCTCTGTGGTACATGGCAAATAATTTGCCCTGAAGAAAGATGTTGAGTAAGGTCATGCACAGTAGATCAGTCCCAGATGTGGCTCATTTTCATTGGGACTGTCAGAGGAAGCTGATGCTCCATTCTAATAAGAGTCGTTGGTATTGCTGGTGCTGGGTTTACAGTGTAAACAGATCTCTGTTGAGTAAAATTTTGTTTGAAACTTCAATTCCCAATCTTTGTAGCCCAAAAAAGTAATTTTCCCAATCTCCAGTAAAATGGATCAGATAAAACCCAGATAACTATTTTCAATGTGTTCTGCTGCTTCTGTAAAGCAGTCATAATTTGAATGATGGAAATCTTGGTGAAACCTAAATTCTTGAATCAATGGGAAGACTTTTCACATTTTAGTCTGTAGAACTATTTATTGCAGCCCTAGGCTTGTTTAGTTTAGATAAATTGGGTTGTGTTTTGTGTTTTTAGTATTCAGCTTGAAGCACATAAATTACCCTGTCATCAGGAGAAAATCACCAATGATGTTTTGCCAAGCAGCCCTAATTAGCAGGAAATTGTATTTTTCTAACAGGATGGGCTTTGTTTAACCACTCCTCTGTGGTTATGTGCAAAAGCCTTTTTTGAGTGTCACCTGATTAAAAATTGATATTTTCATAATGTGAGGGAAGTGTATGGCAACTCAAATGCTTTTCAGCTTACGATTTTGGGTGCTGTATATTAGTTTATAGACTGACTTGGCATGTCAGATGAAATGAAATATTTAACTTAAATTACCTTCTCAAGGTGATTAATCTCAGAAGATAGGCTCATATATGCATCATGTCATTTATGGTAGCTTTGCAGAAAGTAAATGGGTCTCTTTTGAGCAGAGAAGGAAGTTAATAAGCTGCAAGATCAATAAGCACATGTAGTAAATTTGGAAACTGAATTGTTACTGTGAAACACCATGATGTCTTGCTGTGATGGGAAACTTGTAACCCTCCAAATGTTATGGGAGTGAAGTTCCTAATAGATCTAGCCCACAGAATCAATCATGAAGAATGCTAGGAGTTGTAATTCAGCAGTGTTTGAAGGGCCACCTTGATGCTGTGGTTAGAGCAGTGGTTCTCAACCTGTGGGTCCCCAGGTGTTTTGGCCTGCAACTTCCAGAAATCCCAGCCAGTTTACCAGCTGTTAGGATTTCTGGCAGTTGAAGACCAAAACATCTGGGGACCCACAGGTTGAGAACCACTGGGTTAGAGTATCATACTGGGACTAGAAAGCTTCAGGTTGCCACTCGGCTATGAGTTGTATTGGTTACATCCGGGACCTGAGAGACCATTATATCTCACCCTGAGCTACACCAAAGAAATCTTGGGAGAATAAAACTAGATGAATATAAATAGAGAAAATAAGCTAAAACCCGATCAGTCAAGAACCCAGTATTTTCTGTGGCAAGGGAAATAGATAAGTTTAGAACTTTATATGATTTCATAAAACCCTCAGTAGTGGGAGCTGGTTCTCCTGCTTGAACTTTAGTTCTTGCCAGCATTCCTGTCTATTTCCTACCCAGTCTGGTGTTTTATCCTCTTTAAGGACCTCATCCATGAGGAGGAGAAAGCAGGGGGAATCATCTTCTTTACCACAGCGTTTTATTCCAGTCCCTTTGTAAGGAAAACTGATAATATATTCATTTCCAACACATGCAATATACTTTTGTCCATTCCTACAATGATTCTCCATATTCAGAGCTACCCCATGGGCAATACCAATCTATTTTTTTAATTAAAAGGGGGAGAAACTTTGGAATTGCAGTAGTCTCGAAATCTAGATCAAAAAAGAGGAAGATATAACTACAGTGCAGTGGCAACATATCAAAATTGTGCAATTCTTGAAGAATATTTTTTTTAAAAAAACCTTACAAGTTTCATGCAAGAGGATTAATGTCAAGAAAAGGAGCATTCATGCATATTTCAAGACCACCCACAGGAACACCCACACTTTGAAGTCACTACAACGATCTAACACTGGGTAATCCAACAGCTCTCATCTCTTGTTAAAATAAGTGCCTTTAGTTGTGTCTGTGCAAATTGAAGACACTGGCTCTCTGACTCCAAAACCTCCTTTTCTAGACAATTTAAAAATAGTTTAAAGACAGAGTCCCATGAGGAACCACTGAAAGTAGTCTTGCATAGTATAATGGACTTCATCTTTAAACTGTGGAAATGGATAGGATGAGATCCCAAATGTTGAACTAGGACTGAGAGATCAGAATCAAATCCCCACTCAGACATGAAAACCCACTGGGTAGTTAGCTACTCGTCAAACCAAAATCCATAATTTTGGCTCCCAAACCTGCTCTCAACTTTTACATGAGGTCAACATATCCACAAGTGTACAGTAATAACATATTTTTTACAGATTCCGCAGATATATGTGGAAGTGAATGAGGACCTCCTCAGATCCATGGGTTTCTTATTGGTTTAACAATCATTCACTTTCTGTGTCAGATTTTTTAAATGGATGATAGGATTTCTTTAAAAAAAACTTTCAACAAGTGAATTATTGTCTTTCCTTTCCTCTGTAGTTTTACTGTAAACGTATGTGTGGCTTTTGAAGCTCCAGGTGTTTCAGATAAAATAGGTAAGTCTTTGTATATTTGCATGGCTGTGCTAGAGACTCATTGAAGTCTGTTGAAATACTTAATGTTGTTTTCAAGTCAGTCTTTGGATGCTTAAGATGAAAGACATTAATTGAAATGGTGCAGAATTAAGGAATATCTTAAATCCCTTCTTTGACAAAAGTTTGGAGAAATTATTTTAACTCTCTTGCTCCTTGTCACATTCTGGACAAAAAATTAGCCTGTGAAAGTGTTATTTTGAAAACAAATTCAATGCTTTGTGCACTGAGGATGCGCAAAGTCCCATTAGTGTTGTTGTTGTTGTTGTCTTTATATTTACCCCATCTTTCTTCTAAAATTGAAACTCAAAGTAGCTTACAATGTAAAACAAGCTGAAAACACACAAGTGTCAAAATAAAAAATAGAACTCAATTGCCCACAATATTAAAATAATTTAACCAGGTACAAAAAAATCATAAAGCTCAGTTTTGGGTGTGTGTGTGTCAGGAACAATGTGAGAAACTGCAAGTCGCTTCTGGTGTGAGAGAGTTGGCCATCTGAAAGGACATTGCCCAGGGGACACCCAGATGTTTGATGTTTTACCATCCTTGTGGGAGGCTTCTCTCATGTCCGTGCATGGGGAACTGCAGCTGACAGAAGTAGCTCAACCTGCTTTCCCCGGATTTGAACCATTGACCTGTCAGTCATCAGTTCTGCTGGCACAAGGGTTTAACCCATTGCACCATCGGGGGCTCCAAAGCACAGTTAAAATGATTAAATAAAAAAATTAATCTGAAGCTTTTCCTTGAAATCATTCCACTTTAAAAGTCTTTTAGATGTGCCTCCCAATGAAATGACAGCAAGGAGGGGACCATTCAATTGAATGAGGAAAATTGTAGAGTAGACATGGGCAAACCTTAGCCCTTCGGGTGTTTTGGATTTCAATTCCTACAATGCCTAAGAGCCTACCGGCTGTTAGGAATTGCAGGAATTGAAGTCCAAAATATCTGGACTTGCTCATGCCTGTTGTATAGGCATGTCCTTTTTTGTATACTGTTCCAATCATGTCCTTGGGGGGACCCTGTTGGTACTGATGTTGACTTCATTTTATTGCAAGGAAAAACATTTAAATCAATTCCAACATTTAAATCAGTTTAAATCAATTTTACTTGTATGTTGATACAGGATTATTGTTTCAGATTTGTGGTGAAAGAGCAGCAAAAGATTTACCATGTTACTTGTTCTCTTGTTTATAGTGAACTAAGAAATAAATCTCAGTGGCTCACTTTTATGGCAGTATCTTTGGCCACTTGAACAAACATTGAACTGCTTTTGGAAATGGGAACATTCCAAAAACAGGCGGTTTTCTGTAAAACTGGAGGAGAATTTGAAGGATAACGTGTCTTTATTATGTTCGGCTTGCTTGTATCCTTTAGCTCTGAAAGCTGAGCTGCAGTTGGATTCCTTAAAAGTCAAAGGAGCTGTTAAGCGAACCCTTTTCCTGGATTACCATCAGTCACAGCATGCCTTCCTCCTCATGATAGAGCGACAGAACTGGCTCACTTGTAAGGATTTTGTGGTTTATCTCAGAGTAAGTGTTGTTCTTTCCCGGGTCAAGGAAGTGATCATTTCCAGGATAGTCATTTCAAAATATAGTTGGTATGTGAGTGATGAAAAAGGACAGACAGTAAAACAAACAAAAAGATAAGTGGGTTTTGTTAGGGTTCCTCCTCATCAGAAAATGTAAGAAGGTTATATTTTGGAATCTGTCCATAGAATTTTCCTACAAATGCCTCTCTTTTTTCATGTCAGGAGTGACTTGAGAAACTACAAGTCTCTTCTGGGGTGAGAGAATTGGCCGCCTGCAAGGACATTGCCCAGGGGATGCCCAGATGGTTTTTTTTTGGGGGGGGGGGTTATGTTTTACCATCCTTATAGGAGGCTTCTCACATGTCTCTGCATGGGGAACCGGAGCTGACAGTGGGAGCTCATCCGTGCTCTCCCTGGATTCAAACCTGTGACCTGTCGGTTTTCAGTCCTGCCGGTACAAGGATTTAACCCATTGTGCCACCGGGGGCTCCTACAATTGCCTCTGAATAGTATTAATAAAAAAAGGCAGCCATCAATTATAGTACTTTACCTCCTTCAATAGCAAACAGCCATGCCTATTGAAGCAATTTCTCCAATATGTCAAATGCACGAACACACATACGCACAACCTTGGGGTTGAGTTACCTCACACATATCATATTTTGCAATTGTAAGAATGGGTCAGTATTTGCTTTGTAAGACAATGCTGGAACCTAACCAGAATACGCAAAGTTATCTCCACTGGGATTGTATCCACTATGGCCTCCAAGTCAGAACGGATCTGAGAGATTTTATCTGCAAAGTATATTTATAAATGTGTATGTATGTATTTTATATATCTTTTCCTCTCCATACGGGATGCAAAGTAGACTTGCCAGTACCAATCTTGTTTAGTTTCCCAAATTAGATAAAATTGGATGTAGTTCAGGGTCGTTTGGTGATAATAATGTTCTTTCCTACTGAGGAGATGATAATAGAATAAGGATGTGAGTTGATTTGTTGTTGAGATTTAGTGTGTATTTTGTTTAATTTACCTGTCCCAGGATGAAACTGAGTTTCGAGATAAATTGTCTCCAATCAACATTACCCTGAATTACAGCTTGGACGAATCTACTTTTTCAGACGGCTTAACTGTGAACCCAATACTGAACTATTACCAAGAAAACATAGTTGGCAAGCAGGTATGAACCTAGCGTGTCATTGCTATCATGCTGTGTGGCATCTTTTGTCTTTGTTCAGCGGCTTCAGCATTCCCTCAATATACGCAACAATACTTTAATGTGTTCATGATGGTGAGTTAATTGAACCAGATCTATCTGAAATTTGTGAAAACTCTCCCAGACTGCATTTTCTAAATATTCTCCTTCTCTTAGTTCCAGCTAAGTCCAACAGCATGTAAATCATATTCCTTGCCTAGCAATGATGGAAATATATACACGCCCTTTAATAAGCAGATCATGACATGGATACATATTCATGTCTGTAAGCAGCCACCACTGGCCCTCTCTGTTGCCATTGGGGTTTGGAAGGTTCAGGTCTTTTCGGGGAGATGTTTTTGATGGCTATCAAACAAACAAAAGAGAAAGGAAAGGAAATGTCTGAAATTCCTTTCCATGAGAAACCCTAACACAAGTGATGCATGTTTTGGACAATGCAGGCTTACATTCTTGTGGATTGTGGAGAGGACAACGTGTGCATTCCTGACTTGAAACTTTCCGCTGTGCCGTAAGTCTGAACAAATAAACTTGTGTATTGCTCTTAATGGGATAAAGGTGTTCATTAAAAAGCTGCTGGGAGGTGGGGGAAAGAGTAGAAAAAACCCACCAGGGCTGCCCCTGTGATAGGAAAGAGATCTTAACAGCCTCACGCTGAGATTGGCTTTAATGTCTCTGCTGCACTTTTTACGGTCCTCAAGTGGATAGCTTCAAAGGTCTCCCATGTTTTTTTAAGAAAACACACACACAACAAAATCTCCTCTGTGTTTCGCTAGTTATTTGAACTTTGCTTATTTCAGACAAAAGGAAGGAATGGTTTTAAAAATCGTCCCTACATTTGCACGGAAGTATATGCAAATTGTTTCAATCCATCTCAAAGAAACCACAAGCCACTTTGAATCCCAGCTTGGGAGAAAGTGGCTCATAAATACGGTACAGTTGAGTAATATTAGAAATGTTCATTTCAGTGGTGGGCATTTACTGGATGTTTCATACCTAAATCTTAGAAAAGGTACCGTTTTCAGCCACAGCTGTCAGAATCCCCGGCCGGGTAATATAGGGAATTCTGGCAGTAATTCATAAAGTAATTTTTCCAAACTCTACTCATATCATATGTCGTACTTCTAAGTAACTCCTTTGAAGGACACAGATAAACTACAATATCCATTCACTCTCTGCACCCTTTTTAAAGGTTGGATACCTGAGTGATAGTTTGATTGAATTTATCCATTCACCTGTTAGACTATCTCAGCATTTCACAGAAATCATAGAACCATAGAATCAAAGAGTTGGAAGATACCTCATGGGCCATCCAGTCCAACCACCTGCCAAGAAGCAGGAATATTGCATTCAAATCACCCCTGACAGATGGCCATCCAGCCTCTGTTTAAAAGCTTCTAAAGAAGGAGCCTCCACCACACTCCGGGGCAGAGAGTTCCACTGCTGAACGGCTCTCACAGTCAGGAAGTTCTTCCTCATGTTCAGATGGAATCTCCTTTCTTGTAGTTTGAAGCCATTGTTCCTTGTCCTATTCTCCATGGAAGCAGTAAACAAGCTTGCTCCCTCCTCCCTGTGGCTTCCTCTCACATATTTATACATGGCTATCATATCTCCTCTCAGCCTTCTCTTCTTCTCATTAGCTTGTAGCTTTTGTTTATTTACATTTTTTCCAATCCTACCATCAAGAATATAAAAGGTAAATGTTTCCCCTTCACATTAAGTCAAATCATGTCCCACTCAGGGGGGTGGTGCACATCTCCATTTCTAAGCCGAAGAGCTGGTGTTGTCCTAGGTTATGTGGCCAGCATGACTGCATGGAGTGTCATTACCTTCCCGCTGAAGCAGTACCTAATGATCTACTCACATTTGCATGTTTTCAAACTGTTAGGTTGGCAGAAGCTGGGGCTAACAGCAGGAGCTCACTCTGTCCCTAGGATTTGAACTGCCAACCTTCCAGTCAGCAAGTTCTGCAGCTTAGCAGTTTAACCCACTGCACCACCATGGCCCCTACATCAAGGATGTAGGGCTGTATAAATACTCCTCGCTCCTCCATTCCAGTTTTATTCCACTACTATCCCCAGATGTAAGGATCTTCACCTGTCTCCACTGCTAAAGCATCATGTGTAGGGCCATTTAGATATTCTTCTGGTTCCCATTTGAGACTTTATTTTTATAATGTCACCACTGGGCAACATCAACTTTGAAATATTATTGCCACTAAAGAAATTGTGTGATACTGTAACATGGCCAGTTGTATAGCATTCCCATCAGGTTCAGCATCCATTTTCTGAAATGTTTGGGACCCAGAAGCATGTTGCATTTCAGATTTTGGGATACCTGTATTTGTATATATGTGCAAAATGTACATTATGAGATATTTTGGAGATGATACCCAAGTCTAAACAGGAAATCGTTTTATGCCTTATGTGATTCTTATACCCATAGCCTGAAGAAACATTTATACAATATTTCTAATAGCTTTGTGCGTAAAACAAAGTTTGTGTACATTGAATTGTCGGAAAGCAACAGTGTCACTATCTCAGCTACCCATGTGGCCAATTTTAGATTCTGGACTCACCCTTTACAAAACTAATTTATGAAAAAGAAGTACAACATGATTTTAATACATCTAAATAACACTTTATCTCCTCATACTCCTAACCAAAACCAACTGTCCAGAGTCTAATCTCTTCCCTGATCAAGCACACCAGCTGTTTTAACATCCTTTCAAAGCCATACAATCTCCATTTTCTCCCAATAGTCTGTTCTTGCTCAGAGATATCTATCACACATAAATAAAAATAGTTTTATGCATCACATCCATAATCACACTATTTCTTAATTTTTCCAACAAATACACTACACCCCCAAGTTCCATAACATCACAGTGGTCCATGACAAAATTTCATTTTTTACAGAGACAGAGATCAGATCATAATTGGAGAAGAAAACTGTGTTATGCTAATTGTCAATTCAAGAAATGAAGGTGAAGGAGCTTATGAAGCAGAGCTGCATATAAAGATACCTCCTGAAGCAGATTACACGGGTGTTGAGCGCAACAACAAGGTACTGTATAGCAAAATTTATTAGGTCATTGGTTTCTTCATATTACAAACTCCCAAAATTGCCCAGCAAACATGGCTACTGCCAAATATTTGTATTCTTTGTGTTTATTTGAGCACAGTATATATATTCATTCATCCATTCCCCACCCTAGCTCTATCTAAAGCGGTGGTTCCCAAACTTTTTTTGACCAGGGACCACTTGGACCAGGGACCACTCCCCAACATTAGTACCAAAAAGGTTATGAATCAGCTTTTGGTCAACTTTAGATTTGGTTTGGTTATTTGGGGTGCTGGTTCAGAAAATTGCATTGAATAAACCACATCAGCTCTAGTTTCTGATACAGAACATATTCCACCCAGTAGTCACCTTCTGCTTGTCCACTGAAAACCATATTTAATCACCTAGTGCTGATGTGGTAGTAGTGCTCTTTCATGGGTATTCAGCCTCTCCCCTCCTGACATCTCTTGCCTTGGCACTATAAGAGGGTTTCACAAAACCAGTTGGTCTTGTTGCCATGTGGTTTTGAGGCAACAGTGTAGTAACGGTGAGGCCCCAGACCATATTTTCATTCTTGTGGACCACTGGTGGTCACGGACCACAGGTTGGGAACTACTGATCTACAGATTCGAGGCAACATACAGTCAAATAAAATTATTTTAAAAGGGTTAAATCATGTTAAATAGTTAACCTGTTCAAAAGATTGTTTAACATGAATTAAAATAGGCTAAAATGGTTTAAAACATGTACTTGAGAGGGTTTGTGTAAAACCGATTAGGTCCAAAAGCTTTAATGCGCAACCATTTTCACTAAATATTGACAAGATGGTACAAATGTTGAAATAACACCTTTTTACCAACTCATTTTTTTCCTCATCCAAAGACTTCTTTCTGGGATAGGAGGATTTAGCAAACATGTATAGTAATGCTATTCAGTGGGGCCATGTGGAGCTTCATATGAGCAGGACAGAGCTCATTTTACTTGAAAGGTTTTGCAGGGAAGAGGGGGAGTTTCTTTTAGAAAAGTCGAGAGGAAATTCTATCTCCTAGATACACAGACAGTTCATGTGTTCACTACTGGGCAAGAAGAATATATCAACTCATCTGACTACAAAGCCTGCAAGCTGATCTAGCATGAACTTTATTTTGGAAGGTTCAAAGCATGACACCCTCAAAAAACAGGGGAACAAGGTGTGCCAAGTTAATTTCCGTTCCCAAAGCAAATATTTTTGTTGTGCTGAAAATAACTTCCTGCTCCTCTTTTGTGAGTTAGCTTTATCATATAAAAACAAGTCAAAGATGGAAGAAAAAGGAAAAAACACCTTTGTAACAAGTGTTAAGAAAATAAAGTGCTGCCATTCTTAAATATTATGTTTTTTTTAATTAAACTGAGCTGCACCTTGTTTTTGTAGATATAGTTTTAAATATAATCTTACCACTTGTTATTGGATCTATTTTGGTGCTCGGTCTTTTCACTTGTATCATTGTGAATTTAAGAGCATTAAGATTTTATTGTACTGTGAAAGCGTAACCTTTTCAATACTAGTTGTGGGATTTATTTTATTTATTGTATCAGAAGCAAACCAAGGGTACAGATGTAATGTATATTTAAAAACTTGGCATTCTACTAAATGTCCTTTGACCAGTAGCTAGCCACTTGGAGTGCCTCTGGTGTTGCTGTGAGAAGGTCCTCCATTGTGCATGTAGCAGGACTCAGACTGCATTGTAATAGGTAGTCTGTGGTTTGCTCTTCTCCACCCTTGCATGTTGTAGGCTCCACTTTGTGGCCCTATTTCTTAAAGTTGGTTCTGCACCTCGTGGTGCCAGACGGCAGTCTGTACAGTACTTTCTAAGTTGCCCAGTCTTCTGTGTGTCCAAGGGAAGAGTCTCTCATTCAATATCAGCCATGATTTGAGGTTCTGGGTTTTAGCCTGCCACTTTTGGATTCTCGCTTGCTAAGGCATTCCTGCAAGTATCTCTGTAGATCTTAGAAAATTATTTCATGATTTAAGGTATTGGCATGCTGGCTGATATCTGAACAGGGGATGGGCCGGAGATGTCATTGCCTTGGTCCTTTCATTATTGGCTGCTACTTCCCAGTGGATGTCAGGTGGTGCGATACCAGGTAAACAGTATAATTTTTCCAATGGTGTAGTGAGTAGACATCCTGTGATAATGTGGCATGTCTCACTGTGGGATGATAATAGTTTTAGTCCAACATGTATGGAGGAGGCCAAGTTGGAGAAGCCTACTGTAGATGATGGTGATGATGATTATGATGATGGAGAAGAAAGATTTGTTTTGTTTTGTGCTACTCTATATTTTCTTACAGTGTATTTTTAGGGAGATAATGGCATCAGAGATGGAAAAAGAGATTTCCAAGTTCTGTAGCTTTCAAGGTATAAGTATGAGTTGACCCTTGAACAATTGATCGGTATCAAGCTTGGTCCTTTAGATCTTTTAACTGTTGTCTCTCCTATTGTAGTCTGTTATGTGAAATGTGTGAGTGTGTCTCTATGGATTTTCAGGTACATTTTGGATTGGGACTGGATTGAAAGCAGAAGAAGAAACAGGCATGATAGAGAAGCTACAATTGAACCACTTGTCTTTTTCTCAATCTGATGATGGTTAGGAACATAAATCACAAAGTTCTTGAGTTGTGCCATCATGCACCAAACTTCAGACATTGGAAATATGAAAGCCAGGGATTCTGAACTTTATAGTTTGGTAAACTTTGTGGTTTTGCTACAAGTCAGAAAATTATGTTTAAACAGAGCCCTACTGTGGGGAGAATTGGACGCAAGGGAAAGAAACAAAGAGATATGGATTGATAAATTCTAAAAACATTCAGTCCTCAAGCAAGTGTCCTTGATTTTAGTGGCACAGTCCTATGAAACATGCTGTGCTAGAATGTCAACAGCTAAGTTTTGGTTCATTAATATCTAGACCTTTGGGGAAATGCAATGCGGTTGGTGATTAATCACTGTCATGAAAGCTGCTCTGCTACTTTTAAAGTCTCAGCTTTACTAATCCAGGAGTCCTCCTGGGTTGTCCATGTTCATCTACATTCCAGTTGTTTTAACTTGAAACACAAACCAGGTTGTTCTGGTGTTAATTGGTCAGGTTCTGCTACTGTTCAAAACTGTAAAATAAGCCATGTGTTGCCATAAAAGAAATAAAGGTGGAAAATTGTTCCTTGGGTCTAGTAAAAAACCAAAGTGGCTTAACATACCCAGGTGTTAGTGGATTTGCATACAGGGTGAATGGATTTGCTATCAGAATGTGTATCAATTCTCGTTTGCAGAGACACAGATCTTAATTTCTCAATACAATTGCTCATTTCTGCAGTCTTGTCACCCCTTGAATTAAATGTATTTCAAGATTCTTGATGGGGATAGGATTTTAAGTGAGTAGTTTTTAGGCTCCTGTCTCAAGACCTCAGAGATTTTATAGCATAACATTAGGACCAGTTTTACAAAACCAAAAAACTTTAGTAGTTAAAAGTAGGACTAGGATTAGGGAACTCTGACTTCACTCTCAGATGACCATACTTCAATAAGGCTCCATCTACACAGCCATATAAATTCCAGATTATCTGCTTTGAATTGGATTATATGGTGTATAGGCTAATATAATCCAGTTCAAAGCAGATAACCTGGATTTTATATGAGGCCTCAGTTGTTGAGAGGATAAAGTAGGAACGTGTAGAATCACACATGCTGTCTTGAAATCATTAGGGGTGAGCTAGGATAATTAATATTCTTAATACATTTAAGAAACACTTGGAAGGAGATACAGATAGGTTCATAATGTCCATGATTACTCTAGAGATATATGTATGTAAAGATCTTCTATGACAGTTTCAGCTGCCATAAACATGAATACCAAATATTAACGGAACTCACTCCTTGTTGTTGTATTCCTTCAAGTCTTTTTCTTAGGGCCCTTCAAATCTTTGTTGATCCCAGATTATCTGGCAGTGCGGACTCCTAAAATCCAGTTTAAAGCAGAAAACCTGGGATGAGATTCTGGGATATATGGCCTGTCTGGAAAGGCTCTGAGTCTGGATATACAATGCTCTATATCCCGGGATCTGATTCCAAGTTTTTTGTTTATCCCATATTATCTGGATGTGCACTCATATAATCCTGTTCAAAGTTGATAATCAGGAATCAGATCCTGGGATATAGGGAAGTGTAGAAGTAGCCTGAAGTAGCCTGAAATACTTACTCGAAGTCTTCTGGTAAGTTTCTGTTGCTCAGCTAGGTGTTCGAACCCTGGTCTCCTGAGATATAGTTCCAACACTGAAACCACTACACCACACTGTCTTATTAGAAATCCTCCACCCCTAATCTGTTAGCAGAATCATTAACAATCACAGACCTGCCTTTCCAAAGTAGAAGAAATCTCCAGACACAAACGGATACACAAATAGATAAAGTCCAGGGACAAAGGAGAAGCTTATCTAGTAGTTAACACTGTAGACTATGTTGCAGAAGGCCAAAGACAACTAAAGGATGAAAAAAATACATCCTCTTGGTCAAAGACATCACCTCAACATTCAGTGATGATATCATTATTGCCATACCAAACTTTATACATAATAAACTAGTTAAAATGAGACAGCCGATTTCCTTATATATTGAAAACCCAAGACTTTTAATCTGTTACCAAAAATCACAAAACATGCTATCCAAGATCTCTAGTGACTGAATGAATAACATAGCCACAGAGAGGATCTCTCTCTATATTGGATCTAAATTTTAGAATATGTTTTTAAAAAGCAACATATATTTCAGACAGCAATGATTTTTTTTACTCAGAAATGAATTTTTAAATAAATACTATCAGTTTTAAGACATGTCCGTCCATGTTGATCTGGGATATCAGTATCCAAAGAGATCTTGTAGCACCTTCAAGGCTAAGGGCCCTTCCACACAATCATATAACCCAGAATATCAAGACGGAAAATCCCACAATATCTGCTTTGAATTTGGTTGTCTGAAGGAAAAAGGAAGAGGGGCTGACCAAGGACAAAATGGATGGATGGTATCCTTGAAGTGACTGGCTTGACCTTGAAGGAGCTGTGCGTGGAGACGGCCAACAGGGAACTCTGGCGTGGGCTGGTCCATGAGGTCACAAAGAGTCGGAAGCGACTGAACAAATAAACAACAACAACATCAGAGTCCACGCTGCCATATATTACTGTAAAATCAGAAAATGTGGGATTTTATTCAGATGTGTGGAAGAGGCCTGAGGCCCCTTCTACACTGCCATATAATCCAAATTATCTAATCAACAACACCAACAATATTTATTACAGTACATAGACCCATCAGTAAATGAACAGTCATTATCATTTTTCTCATCTCAGGAGAAGTTCATTCTACAAGATACATCTGCATTATCTGCTTTGAACTGGATTATATGAGTCTCACACTGCCACATTTGTTTTGTTTTGTTTTGTTTTTTGTCATGTCAGGAGCGACCTGAGAAACTGTAAGTCGCTTCTGGTATGAGAGAATTGGCCGTCTGCAAGGATGTTGCCCAGGGGATGGCCGGATGATTTGATGTTTTATCATCCTTGTGGGAGGCTTCTCTCATGTCCCCGCATGAGGAGCTGGAGCTGATAGAGGGAGCTCATCCACCTCTCCCCGGATTCGAACCTGCAACCTGTCAGTCTTCAGTCCTGCCGGCACAGGGTCAAAGCAGATAATCTGGATTTTATATGGCTGTATAGAAGAGGCCTGAGTGCAACATGGGTCCTGCTGGTTAGACTCTGCATCAATACATCTTAACACTACACCCCATTTGTGATAGATTTCCATCCAGTGTCTCCTCACTATTGTGAGACATTTAGCAAATCTTACTGGAGACTTCAGCAATAAGTTGATTATTCTCAATGGTACACACATGTAATGCAATGCTTGGAATCACAAAGGGTTCATCCAGAATGGTTGAGTGGTGTTTTAAGGCAACGTTTACTGGTAATCTTTCAAAATGTGATGCCTGGTAGAAAGCTTTAAGGGGATTTTATATAATTGCCCTAGATCTCTTGTAAGATTTGCTAACCATCACAAGCTTTTCCTAATTGCCACATAATAGTTAGGAGACACTGGATGGATATCATTATATGCAAAACAATACTATCCCTGAAACATGCACAGTGGTTTTTCCAGCCATACTTTTCAGACTTTTGTATTCATTTTAGGTTGATTTTTTATTTCTCTAACTAATGGTGCCAAAGAAAGAAAGGCTAAGGAGGATATTAGTGTTTTGCTTTAATCTGGGTTATTTAACTTCCTACTGTCTTGCAGCTTCCTGGGCTGTCTCTGTTTCATTGTATTTATACAAATGACCCAGATAGGAAGAAGAGGCCAGAAATAATACACAAAAAAACCCCAACACTTTCCTTATTTTAAAAAAGAAATAAGCACACCATCCAAACACCAGGAATGTGTAGTAGATAGATCTTAAGACAGAAAGTCAAGAGAACCTCACGGATGAGGTTCAAGAGTGCCTGAATTACCACAGTGTCCCAGCTTTGATTGGTTACACCAATGCTAATAATTTGCTATAGATTTACTACTGAATATTCTAGCATAATCTATAGGTCAGCAAATATTGGAAGTAAATATTAGGGAGCACCTATCAATAATGAATGATAGTTTGTGTAGGCATCTGAAGAAAAGAGGCATACAGTTCTGGATTAAAGTAAACTATAGAATTGTATTTTAAAATGTATTGTCACACTTGTCACACTGGAGACTGGATTGATTTATATGTTTCATTTCATTTTATATTTAATTTTATAAATATTAACTGTTATAATTTGTTATTGAAGTTTATTTATGAATTATTTGTTTTTTATTTATTTTTGGCACGGAATGTTTGCCATTCCCTACTGGAAACCACCCTAAGTCCTCTAGGGGAGATAGGGCGGGTTACAAATAAAGTAAGTGTGTGTGTGTGTGTGTGTGTGTGTGTGTGTGTGTGTATGTGTGTGTGTGTATATATATATATATATATATATATATAGTATAAGTCTAGACATTTTAGTGGGAAAAAATTGCCCCCCAAATCAGGGTTGGGTTATCTACAGGTCAATATAAATACTGCATTTAGCTTTTTTGGATAAAGAAACAATTTCTGCCTAGAGTAAACTCAACTTAGGAGCCACGGTGATGCAATGGGTTAAACTCTTGTGCTGGCTGAACTGCTGGCTTGAAGGTCAGCGGTTTGTATTGAAGGAGTGGGGTGAGCTCCCATCTGTCAGGTACAGCTTCCTATGTGATGACATGGGAGAAGCCTCCCCAGGATGGTAAAACATCCAGGTTCCCCTGGGCAAGTTCCTTGCAGACAGCCAATTCTCTCATACCAGAAGCGACTTGCAGTTCCTCAGGTTGCTTCTGAAACAAAAATAAAAACTTATCCACGAGTCATATCAAAAATGATTTATTTACTGTATTTATATACTACCTTTCTCACCCCTGGGGAGACTCAAGGCGATTTACAACATACAATGGCAAAAATTCAATGCCAGCACACTCTACACAAAGAAATCATAGTAACTAATTACTACATATAACTATGAATTTAAAATCAATTAAAAACCATTCAACATAACACATCCATAAAATTTAAACATTCAGACAAGCATAAAAGCATCCTAGTATAAACATTAAAATCCCATGATCCAGAAATCGTATGCCATAGCCATTCCAAATTGTCATTGCACATGTTCCTTAATTATTCTAAATTTCAGCCCCAAAGCTTACCTTTGACTTATAAATTAGGTCGACTTGTACTCGACTTTATATATATAGTAATTATTTATCATTTCTTGGCAAAGATAAACAGAATCTTACCAGAAGATGAAAACTTTTTAGGAACAGATCTGGTTAGAGATTGCCTCTCCTATATTGCAAATACACCCTCTTTCTCTCTTAAGACTTATCATCTTGCCAATGGTCATGCCGACTAAGGATGATGGGGGTCAGAGTTGTACACACACATAAATTAAACCTTCATTATTTTTGCCCTTTCAGCTCTTCCAAAATGCAGATAGCAATTTCCCTCACCCACCCACATGCAAATGTCAAGCCTTCCTTAATCATAAATGAATGATTGGACTTCTGTGCAGGTGTTTGAAACCAACAGCAATCTTGCCATCTAAAAGTCGTTAATTTTGCCAACAGGATACGTTTTTAGATTGCCCTTTAACCCCTGTGTTGGTGTTCTTTGGTTACAGGCACTCCGTGCGCTGAGTTGTGATTACAAGATGGAAAATGAAACGAGAACAGTGATTTGTGACCTTGGGAATCCCATAGCAGCTGGAGCAAATGTAAGACAAAACCAGAAACGTTTTCTGATTTTTATCAAATTAAATTGTTTGGGGAGTTAATGGGAAACGGCCTCAATTAGAGGAATTTGGGTCAGTAAGTGGCAGCTAAAACATTCTTTCGGCAGGAAATGGTGGGCACAATAGGAGACAGCACTGTATTGTATTAAAAAGGGGGTGGAAAAGATGTATTCCAATTGGTAAAACTATTTATGACCCTGGCTATAATCCACCTGAAGTTACAAGCTCAATCCTGCCAAATTAGTTGGATTTGAGGGCTCAAGTGAGCATGTATCACATTCCTTTCATTGAAATTTGGGCAGCAATCCAGTGTACAGTTGCCTGAGTAAATGTATAGGATCATCCCATTGTGATATTTCAATGTATGCCTGCCTGTGCACTCTTTATGAACTATGTCTGAATGGAGGAGTATAGTATCTCCCTTAAGATACAAATGACGTAAGAATACTGTACAGCAGTGTATCTCAACCTGGAGGTCGGGGCCTCGGGGGGGGGGGGGGGGCACGAGGGGATGTCAGAGGTATTTTCTGTTGGTCATAGAGGTTCTGTGTGGGAAGTTTGGCCCAATTCTATCTTTGGTGGTGTTCAGAATACTCTTTGATTGCAGCTGAACTATAAATCCCAGCAACTACAACTCCCAAATGTCAAGGTCTATTTTCCCCAAACTCCATCAGGGTTCACATTTGGGCATATTGAGTATTCATGCCAAGTTTGGTCTAGATCCATCACTGTTTAAGTCCACGGTGCTCTCTGGATGTAGGTGAACTACAACTACAAACTCAAGGTCAATATCCATCAAACCCTTCCAGTATTTTCTGTTGGTCATGGGAGTTCTGTGTGCCAAGTTTGGTTCAATTCCATAGATGGTAGAGTTCAGAATGCTCTTTGATTGTAGGTTAGCTACAAATCCCAGCAACTACAACTCCTAAATGACAAACCTAGTCCCCCCTTAACCCCACCAGTATTCAAATGTGGGTGTATCGGGTATTTGTACCAAATTTAGTCCAGTGAATGAAAATGTATCCTGCATATCAGATATTTACATTACGATTCATAGAAAGGTTGAGAAACACTGCTGTACAGTATAGAGTCTCGCCATAGCTTTCACCTGTACTAGAACAATTAGAATCACAATTATTATTGTGTAATGCATATGTATCTATTGATACAGTATATCTATTTAATTTGTGACCATAGCCAAAACTGTCAGGATATTCGTAATTTGTAAATACAAAATACAACACAACAATATCTAGTGTAATGCATCAGCTTTAAGGCGAAGCAGAAACGCACCATCCTTAACGTATGGGAAATTAAAACATGAGAGTGTAATAGTTTGGAATTCTGCCATTGAATGAAAAGATTTTGACAGGTTTCCAAGAGCTTAAAACTCTTTTAACTGTGGTGAGCAGGTATAGTTCCACTGAACTTGGTGGAATTTTATTGTTGGCATATGTGAACCCCATTTGCCCGCTATTAGTAACAGCCTCGGGACTAAAAGCCGCCATTAAAACCCATTGCCACACAGAGATACCATCTGCTGCTCATTAGTGTCTCCCAAATGGAGTGCAGTTTTATGCTTTAAGTAAAGCATTATTGTGAGGCTAATGCATGGAGGAGTTTCATATAGATCATCAAAACAGGGTACATGTTTGCTTCATTGCTTCAGAGGGAGGCGGCTAACTCTTATGTCCTGTTGTCAGAAGTAGATGCTATAGAGAAGCCATTAAAATAGGTAGTGATGTGAAAAAGTAATATGATAATTGCGGAAGAACTTGATTATCATGAGTTTAGTATACGTGAATTCTTTGCTCTGTATTTATCTGCTGGCTATTAACTTACTAAAGTTATGTAACACTGTATATTCTTTGGGTTACATGCCAAAGACTTTGAAAGACCTCTTGTTGACATTTTGAAGATTCTGGGTGCTTCTACACTTGCAATTTGAAACCACTTTAACTGCCATAGCTCAATGCTATGGAATCCTGGAAGTTTCAGTTTTGCAATATACTTGGCCTTCTCTGCCAAAGAGTGCTGGTGTCTTACCAAACTATAACTCCCAGGATTCCATTGCATTCAGCCATGACAGTTTATTTATTATTTATTTATTTGCAGTATTTGTATACCGCCCTTCTCAACCTCGAAGGGAACTCAGGGTGGATCACAGTGTTGGCAACAATTCAATGCCATCAATTAAAAAAACAGTATAAAACATCAAAATTGACCCTCCCCTCATAAAACATGATTAAAGTGGAGTCAAACTGCATTAATTCTATAGTGTAGATGCACCCTTAGTAATAGTATATCACATTGGGCTAGAACAGTGGTTCCCAACCTGTGGTCCGTGGATCACCAGTGGTTCCCCAGAACTAAAATGTGGTCCTTGGTCTCACCATTACTACACTGTTGCAATGAGAGCGACTGGTCTCGCAAAACCCTCTTATAGTGCCGAGGCAACGGGGATGTTGGGAGGGAAAAGGCTGACTACCCATAAAAGGCATGACAACAAGCCTCTTGACTACTGCTTCTCCTCGTCCTCCCTCCCCCAAGCAGAGCCGTTCCATGTGGTGCCTGGAAGCAGGGGAACCTTGGTGTCTTCGTTTTTAGATCTATTTCTGGGGTTATTTGGGGTGCTGATTCAGAAAATTGCATTGGATAGACCACACCAGCTAGATTATTAAATATGGTTTTCTCTGGGTGAGCAGATTGCGACTACTGGATGGTATATGTTGTTTATCAGAAACTAGAGCTGATGTGGTTTATCCAGTGCAATCACCACTCCAAATAACCAAACTGAATCTAAAGTTGATCAAAAACCGATTCGTAATCCTTTTGGTACTAATGTGGGAGAGTGGTTCCGGGTCAAAGTAAGTCCTGGCCAAAGTGGTTCCTAGTCAAAGTGGTCCCTGATCAAAAAAAGGTTGACCAGGGTTAGAGTCAGATCCTATGTATAGGTTGAATTTTAAGAATTGCTTCTGGATTGCATAGCACAATGGAAAGATTAATTTGGACTAGCTGAGACCTTTACCGTTAATCTATTTGCAGAGATCAGACAAATATTCTAACTATTAAAATCTGATTCTAGTTTTCGTCAGGCATCAGATTCACTGTCCAACGCTTTGAAAATGCTGAATTCAGCATCCAGTTTGAACTGCAAGTGAGAAGGTAAGGGGTTTGTATTTATTTGATAAGAAAAAAATGGTTAAAAATCTAGCTCATTTTACCCATGCCTGATCTATTGATTTATTATGACTCCATTTATACATTTTACTTCCATCCTCAATTTACTAGTTCTGCCAAAATTAATTGGATTTCCAAAATCCTTGAACAACTGCAGATAGAAAAACAGAAAAAGTTATGAAAAATAAAGATGTATGTGCTTGGCATAAATTGTTTTGTCATATGCTACATTTCTCATAATTAATGATAATAGTTCACCTTTCCTTAATAGCATTGCTCAAGGAATAATCAGGGAATATCTTTCAGTTCTCACTGTAATTGCTGAGTAACAAGCTCACCTGCTCTTTCATAAACTAAAGCTAGTTTGCTCAACAGTTTTTCATAGCAAATATAATTGTTACCAAAGATGAAAGAGAAAATAAAGCAAAGCCTCTCAAGGTCATTTACTTTAATGGAGATAGTCTTCATTATTTGGATCTTGGGAAAGTTGTCATTTGGATTACAGTGCAGGGGGAATTCTAAAAAAAAAAAATGTTTCCAAGATCTGACTATAATATTTTTTTCCAGTCACAAGCTGAAGGCAAAACGCAACTTACTGGTAATTACTGGTCCTATTTGCATGCCCTTGAAGTTGGAGCAGCTGCTGTATGAGCAGCAATTCTATGCTGAGAAGAGGCATTTATGTGTTGGAGTTAAAAATAAAAGGTTCTGGGATAATGGCTGTCTTCAATTTGGATCTGTATCATAACCACATCACAAGATTTGTCTTTCGATGGTCTGCATTTTGGTGCATTACTGGAACATGTAATGTGATCTTTATCACAATAATGTATTTTCATGTTGATATATTGATATATAATAAGACTGTGTAAGTGCTTGTGGTAGAAATGGTGGTATATTTCCTGATTAACATCAAATGTGTTTCCACATCAATTAGATGCGTTAGGCAGGAGTGTAACAGAGCTATAATTTTATCACTACACAAAGAAGATCCAGAAATAAACTAGTTTGCTGGGATAATTTACAAGGAAATGAAAAGGTTTACAAAGACCCATAGAACTGGAAACTCTTCCAGATGTGTTATCTAAAACCTGTAAGGAACATCTGAAGCTATTTGTGTACTTTTGAACAAAGGAAGCTGCCTTTAAACAAGTCAGACCATTGGTCCTTTCAGCCCATTGTGGACAGGTGCCTCCATGGTTTCAGGTAGCGCTACCAGGACTTGCCAAGAGACTCAACTTAAGGCTTTCTATATTCAGAAGAAATGTTCTACCAAGGATGATGGAAATCATAGCACAGGAAATTTCTTGATTTAAATATAATGTCTGGCTAGCCTACTATTTATGCATTTTCTTTTTAGAGAGGTCACCACTACCCTTTCTCATCTCTGTGCCATGCAATGTACTAATCAGATTCCTAAAAAATATTTTTAAATCCCGTGATATGTGCTACCTAAATATAAGCTGAGGCACCTAATTTTATCACAAAAACTAGGAAAACGGATTGATTCGAGTGGTACCTACCTCACTACCTCTGAGGATGCTTGCCATAGATGCAGGCGAAACGTCAGGAGAGAATGGCTCTAGAACATGGCCATATAGCCCAAAAAAACCTACAACAACCCAATATAATGTTCATTTGTTGGATTAACATAACTCAAAACTCACTGGATGAATTAACACCAAATTTGGACACAGTACATCTATCAGGCCAACAAGTAACCATCTCTCATAAAAAATACTGAAAAACACAACAGAACAGACTTTAAAGGCCAAAAAATAAAAAATACATTACAACGCATATGCAAAACCACACACACATATATGCAAACATACATATATACACAAATATATATACATACAGAAAATACACATACACAGATTGGGCCACAGCAACATGTGGCAGAGGACGGCTAGTATTTACATGAAACTGTAATTTAAGATAAGACTAACTCTGATTAAACCATTATTCTAACCTTCTTCAATATGAATGTTCTTATGTTTGCTTCCAATAATAATAGAGTAAAATAATAAATGTAATAATAATAATAATAATAATAATAATAGAGTAAAATAATGGAAATGTAATAATAATAATAATAAAAATAATAGAGTAAAATAATGGAAATGTAATAATAATAATAATAATAGAGTAAAATAATGGAAATGCAATAATAGAGTAAAATAATAAATGTAATAATAATAATAATAATAGAGTAAAATAATAAATGCCATAAAATTATAATAATAACAGATTAAAATAATAAATAACTTTGACTCGAGTATAAGCCAAGGGAGGCCTTTTCAGCCTTAAAAAAGTCTGAAAAACTTGAGTATATACAGTAATATGATCAAAATATTATGAGAATAAGCATATTTTGATAGCCTGCCCTGAAAACTGAGCTTCTTATATAAAATGCTTTGTTTCTTATCAGAGTTGGTCTTGATGAGCCTTTCCTTCCACTATCTTTCCTTCCACTATTGTCTTCCATCTCTGAAAGAAAGCATTGTTAATTTGATGTTATTGCCTGGTGTATTGCATGCTTAAGTGAAAATGCTTTCAGCTTTATATATTTGAAAGAACATTAACCTTTTACTCAAATGTATTTTAGTTCCAACAAGGTTAATCCCAACAGTAATTTGGTTGACCTTCAGATTGACATCAATGCCGTCGCTCAAGTACAGATCAGAGGGTGAGTGCAATTATCTTTAGCTCTGACATAAAACTAATCAATAAACGTTTGTTTCGTTCAAATTAAGGTAATTGTGCAATACGTGGGCCACCAGCTACTGTTGTCAAGTATGATAGACCCACAGAATTGATGTGATTTGTATAAATATAGGAGGACCATTCAGAAATTGATTCCTTAGGTCTACTCTACTCAAAACTAGCAATTAGGTTTACATTGCTTAGGCCTGAGAGAGGATATGCTTCAAAAGTTCTTTCTAGTCCAAAAAATGTGACTTCTTCTCCCTTACATTCAGAAGCATCTCCTTTTTTCTCATTCTCTTAATTAAAATGTTACACCTAACTATTTTATTGGAATTGCGAGAGAAATAAGGTTGAACACTGTGAAACCACCCACTATATGGCTATCAGCCTCCTCCCAGTAGACTTAAATCAAGGAAAAGTTTCATGAGAACCACCACTCCTCTAAATATTTCTCCAGCAACAGCAAAAATATCCCTCTGGGCAGCAAAATCAGACAATTCCAACTGGATGCCCCCCCCCTTGAGGGTCTTCCTCCAGGGGCAAACCAAGAATGGGCAACTTGAAAGTCCCTGAACAGACTCAGAAGTGGAAGTGGCAGATCAAAAGACAACCTGGCAAAATGGCATTATCTAGAAGAATCTTCCACTTTGTGTGACTCTGGGGCAGAACAAACAACTCGGCATCTGCATGCTTGTCCACAGTGCCCTGCCTCATGCACAGAGGAAGAATGGTTTAACACTGCAGACAATGCTGTCGCTGTTGCCCGTTTTTGGTCTAAAAATATCTAGCAGCTTGTGATCCCTTTATTTTATTAGTTTTAGATAAACTATGTTATCAGTTTTAGATAAACTTTTTAATGCAATTTTGATACAAAGTAAAAAAATATAATTGGATAATTATTTTTAACCAGAGCAACATTTCTTAAAATACCCTTCTGAGTTACTTTCACCCATTAACAAAGACTCCCTCTAAAAATGAAATATTTCTTTTGTGCGCTTTACCTTAATAGGTAATTTTTAGTAGATACATTATAATATAGCAGCTAGTCCTAGTCTTTGATACAGACAACAACATTTTTTCTGTAATGTTAAAGAAATATATCTTTATGAAATTGGAATTATCCATAAAATTGTCCATAAAATCAGAAGGGTCCTGCTATTACATTACAACCAAAATTAACCAGGGATGGCTGTAGTTTGAATAAAATCTAAGTATAATCTTCCATGTGATTCCATTTGTGAAATATTTCAGAGTTTCTCATCCTCCACAAATTATTTTGCCAATTCATAACTGGGAGCCAAAAGATGAACCTACCAAAGAAGATGACATTGGGCCCCTGGTGGAACACATATACGAGGTAAGAAAAGAACTTAGAAAGAAATATTTGAAATCTAAGACATTTAAAAACTCCTGCTTCACAGAAGATGTACACTTATTTCACTGTAGGCAACAATTCTTCATTTCCTCCAGGACTGATTCTTTGAATATTATGAGGATTGCTGGGCATTATGAGGAACTGAGCTTCTTTCAGCATTTAATTCACTAACATAATCCTAGAAAGTAGGCAAAGACCACAACTACATCAGTTCCTGAATCAAAATAGATGAATTAAACCAAATTCACAATGAAATGCCAATTAAAAATGAATTAAAACCCACATCCTGCAATGGCTATAACCTTTGATAACTGCAAGCTTATAGCATTTTTATTACATCATGAAAATCTACTTGAGTCCTTGAAGGGAAGAGAGATGTAATGAGTCCATAATCTCTTTGGAATTTGGTGGATCACGGATGCCGGAGACTGAAACAGTATGCTATACATAGGGCCCTGTATACAAGCCAGTGGGCAGTGCAGGATTGGCAACATCTGGAGCAAATGTGGTTGCCGGCACAAGAATAATATTAGGAGGTTGCTTCTTGCTGAAATATTATTGAATGGTAGGAAGTCTCAGCACAGGATCTGTTATTCCCACCAATACTTAAAAACAAGTTGTATATGCAAGAGAAGCATTCAGACATGTATGGAAGCCATTCTCACTGGGAACTGTACTTTAAAGGAGCAGTTTGCGTGTGTTCTGGCTAAAGACCTAGAAAAATTATGGCCTGTGAACTTATGACACCATTGCATAGTAATCACGATTCTGTGATAGTGACAGCAACAATGAATGGGGAGGAGGGCAAAATGGAACCTGGCACATTAATATAAATAATAGGAGCTCCCGATGTCACAATGGGTTAAACCCTTGTGCCGGCAGGAGTGAAAACCGACAGGTCGGAGATTTGAATCCAAGGAGAGGGCGGATGAGCTCCCTCTGTCAGCTCCAGCTCCCCATGTGGGGACATGAGAGAAGCCTCCCACAAGGATGGTAAAACATCAAAAACATCTGGGCGTCTCCTGGGCAACGTCCTTGCAGAGAGCCAATTCTCTCACACCAGAAATGACTTGCAGTTTCTCGCTCCAGACAAGAAAAAAAATTGCAAGGTAAATTGTTAGTTATGGTGATTTTTTAAAGTTCTCTTTATTTTGTTTATTGACTCCATAGTTACATAACAGTGGACCAAGCGCTATCAATGATACAGTCCTATACGTGGAGTGGCCAGTGCTGAGCGGAGAGGAATTCCTTCTTTACATCCTTCATATTCAGACTCATGGACCATTGCAATGTCAAACAAGCTCTGCAATCAACAGTTTAGACATAAAGGTAAGACATTTCATACTGAGTTTTTGATTTGCCTGCTGAGTAAAGCATTGTTTATCTGGGCTCTCCTAAATTTTATCCTACCAATGCAGGACTTCTGGAAGTCTACACTTGTTTCTTCTAAAGCCAAAAATATATAGCAGATGTATATGAAACAAGCTGTTCAGAGGGAATGAATTACTGTGTAATTTCAACTATTGGTCATCACTGCCATAAACTGTTTCTTTTTTTCTTTCCTCTTCCTCAAAACTTCAGTTGTAGAGTGAAAAATGCCATAAGTGCTAGGAAACCTGTTTCACATTACTATACTTGAAATGCAAGTATATTTTACATTTCAAGTGATCTTTCAGTGTTACTTTGCCTAAAACAATAATATAGTAGTGTGCTGTACCCATGTATTATGTATTGCACACTTGCCTTTTCACTCCTCCTTAAGCATAGTCACATAATTCAGAAGGTTTTATCCATGTAGTCTAAATCACTGCTTCTTAAACTGTTGGTCTTGATCCCAAATGGGCCCCCCTTTGCTCAATGCTGGGGTCCCAAAATTTTGGAAACAATTTTTTTCTGAATGTCACCTAGAGGCTGTTTTAGACATTTACACGAATCTATTGTGCAGTGTTTACAGTGGACACTGCAGAAGATGCTTCTGCTGTACTTCATAAAAAGGAAAATCAGTCTGTTTAGCGAGCCTTCCAAATGCTGATTTATTATCAGAAATTGTTTGATTTTTATATCTACTTTACGTACCTGTATACCCAGAAACACATTTCTCAGGCCAAACATTTATCAGGCCAAAAGTATTCACAAATAAAAAGTTTAAGAAGCACTGGTCTACATAAGGGATTTTTTTTATCATGTCAGAAGTGACTTGAGAAACTGCAAGTCTATTCTGGTGTGAGATAATTGACTGCAAGGATGTTGCCCAGGGGACATCCGAATGTTTTTCCATCCTGTGGGAGGCTTCTCTTGGGTCTCCACAAGGAAAGCTGGAGCTGACAGATGGGAGCTCATCCCATCTTATGGATTCAAAATGCTAACCTTCATGTCAGCAGTTTAGCCAGCACAAGGGTTTAACCCATTGCACCACTGTGGCTCTACATAAGGGGTAAACCATGATTTATCTTAGCTGTGACTAGTGGAAAACAAACCAGCTTCACACTTTGGTTTATGGAGCTGGGCTGTTTTTGTCAATTAAAATAAAGTTAACCATATTTTATTAATCAGAAATGACACAGTGTCTAACAGTTTGTTCTAATTTGTTCAATCCTCATGAAAAAAATGTTCAATCCTGGTCATGAAAATAGTTATTGTATTTACAAGATTCAGATCAGAGTACAGTTTCTTGCTGTTGCTTCTCAGATTGACTTCTTGTTGAGATTACAGAAAAGAAAAACTTGATCTTAATTCATTGTGTTATAACTGAGTCCCCTTCTACACTGCCATGTAAAATCTGGATTATCTGATTTGACTTGGATTATATCCAGTGTAGACTCATATAATCCAGTTCAAAGGAGATAATGTGGATTATCTGATTTGACAATCTGGATTATATGGCAGTGTAGAAGGGGCATGAGAACAAAAGACTAATATCAATTAAAACAGCTATGCAGTCTTTTACAAGTATTATATTCAAAGCTATTTATGCAGATGTTTTTCTTCATGTAGATAACTTTGGTTAGAATAATTAATTTTCCAGAAAAACCAGTAAAAGTGATTATTCTAAAATATTTACTGGCACCAGTAAAACTCTTAACTACTTACTACAAGATTTATTAGAGTGATGTTAAGTTTCCAATACACATCGATAAATAGAATCCTGGTCCAATGGCTTTCTTCATGCAAAAAGTGGTTACAAAGGTGATTCAAGCGGCATCTTTTTAGTCCATTAATAGAAATTGTATTTTCTTTTTGGGCAGCACTTAATCCACTTATTATTTGAAGACTACAGGAGATTAGCTTCCAGAGTTTAGCAGCAAAATAGGAGTGAGGAGGTCAAGCTGTCTGAAAGCAACATATCTGTTAGAACAATTGTAGAATATGTTTACAACTCATTTTCTTTCTCTTTACAGTTTGCTGTCCCGGAGGACACTCCAGAGCTTGCGGCTTTTTTGCGAAACTCATCTATTCCTCACTATGTTGGGCGAAGGGAAGCCAAAGCTGTGGAGCATCAAAAGAATTCTGCAAGGATTCTGGTGAGACAATCAAAAGTTACAATGCCATGTGTATACAGAAGGCTTATGGATGCAGTCTTAACAATGAGATAGTTGTTTTACCCTGATTTTGGCACTTGCAAATAGAAATTCCACTTTTCTCGTCATGTGAGAGATCCCTTAGCACATGACCTTATATTCTGTATTCGTATGTTATTCAGCCATTATAATACACAATGCCTTTTAAGAGTGCCACCTTGCTATCTGTCATCTTTCATAATGACTTGCGTTTTGTGTGAATTCAACAACTGCAGATGGTTAAGACTAACCAATGCTAACTGTGCAGCGAGGGGTCAGGGAATCTGGATTTTATATGCAAAAAATAAACAGAACCAGACTTTTTTTCAGCAGTTTGATCCAAGCTTATTGTACTTGCATTTAGCTTGACGTTGTTTGGTATTCAGTCTTTCTCCTCAAACCATACTTTGGATAGTTTTACGAGCATCTGAGAGGATCAGAGGAATATATAATTTATCTTGTGTATTACATTAATTACCTTCAATTATGTACTTTTTTGTTTTGATATAGGGAATTAAAAATAAGGGTGTTTACACAGGGAGTTCTGGTAAGGAACTGCCATATTCTCTTGTAAAGAGTTTAGAAAATACCTAATTTGGGACTACAACTGTGTTGTAGTTATGTGGCTAGAGGATTTTGGGACTTGTAGTCAATAAGGTCACTTTTCCTAAGCTCTGTTGTTGGATAAGAAGTATTCCAGAAGCACAATCCCAGTGCTTGCATGCAACATCCCCCAGAATGGAGAAGAAAGATTCATTCAGTCTTGTGTTGTGTCTGAATCCATGGATTGTAGCCCATGGCTAGAATTTCATTTGCTACTTCTCATTTGCAATATAATAATAATAATAATAATAATAATAATAATAATAATAATAATAATAAAACATTAGAACAAATGCCATCAGAACCAGAATTGAAAAGTCAACAACAGATCACAAATGTAGACTCTGCAAGGAAGCAGATAAAACAATAGATCATATCCTCAGCTGCTGCAAGAAGATCATGCAGACAGGCTATAAGCAGAGGTATAACACCATTGCTCAGATGATTCATTCGAACTTGTGCCACAAATACCATCTTCCTGCAGCAAAGAACTGGTGGGATCACAAGCCTGAAAATGTTACAGAAAATGAACACGTCAAACACTTCTGGGATTCCGAATTCAGACTAACAGTTTTGGAGCACAATACTCCAGACCTCACGATCGTGCAAAAAAACAGAGTGTGGATTGTCGAGGTTGCAATCCCAGGCAACAGCAGGATTGAAGAGAAACAACTGGAAAAGCTGGCTTGATATGAGGATTTAAAGATCGAACTACAAAGACTCCGGCACAAACCAGTAAAGGTGGTCCCAGTGGTGATCAGCACACTGGGTGCAGTGCCTAAAGACCTTGGCCTGTACTTAAACACAATCAGTGCTGACAAGATTACCATCTGCCAGCTGCAAAAGGCCACCCTACTGGGATCTGCATGCATTATTCGCCGATACATCACACTGTCCTAGACACTTGGGAAATGTCCAACGTGTGATCCAATACCACAGCCAGCAGAGTGTCTGCTGTGGACTCATCTTTTCTGGAATGGGGTAGCCCTCCCTTGAGTACAGAAGAGTACTCTATCTGAGCCCACACATTCATTCAGTTACGGCAACTATGTTATTACAGAGCGTCCATATATGTCAAGTTACATACATCTGGTGTAGGGTTAGGAGTCCCTAAGCCTTTAATTATGCACTTTTTTGGTTTAGTGTGATGATGAATTTAAAAAAAAATAAAACATTCCTTGCTTGCTTCTACAAGATAGACAAATAAACAAATCTGGCAAGATTAAAGAGTGATTAAATAAGAGAAACTAAACAAACACTTCCTCTAAACATTGCCTTTCAGTAAATTCTGTATAATCAAGTGCCTTTGAGGATATAGACAGGAGTTGGATAGTAAAACACAACCTTCTATTTACTTGAAGTGGAGGAACATCTTGTAGACTTTTATGGACAAGATTATCTTTACTATAATGTTTAATATTTTCTGCATCCAGTTAAATTTCTGAGTTGCTCTTTTAAAGAGAGGGTGAAGTTTTATACAACCTAAGTGAAAGTCTTATGTTCTGTGCTAGAAAGGAATTTAGTTCATTATTTCAATGGCCTATTCATTACATTTCTACATATCCCAGTTTTCCTCTTAAACTTCCAGAAATATTGCAATCCTGCCTACTTTTGGTTCTTACAACAGCCCTGTGAAGTAGATAAGAATAAGAAATAATGACAAAGACATGAATTGTAAAGTGAGGTTTGAACCTCGGGCTTTCCAGTCCTAGTCTGCTAACCACTTCATGCAGGCGTTTATTCTGTTGTACATGTTTCATGAAGGATGTGTCTTTTTCAGTAGGTCCTCTCTTATGGCAATTGGCTCCTTGATTGCTTTTTATTGTTTTTTCAGTATCAGATATCACAGTTCAGAATTTTGTATTGATTGTCAGTAAATCACCACTGGTATCATGCATCCAATGGTGTGGATCCTAGTCTAGTGCTTACCAACCAGTATGATGTTGGGGACTGATTGTGTCAGGGACTGATACTATATTTGCTGTAATTGTTCCTTGCCTATAAACTTAACCAGCAGCACAAAAATGACTTATGGGCCAGATCCTGGACCATATGCCAATACTATTTATTTATTTATTTATTTATTTATTTATTTATTTATTTACAGTATTTATATTCCACCCTTCTCACCCCACAGGGTACTCAGGGCGGATTACAATGCACATATACATAGCGAACATTCAATGCCATTAGACATACAACTTATATAGACAGACACAGAGGCAATTTAACATTCCAGCTTTTTTCCGCTTCATGGGGGTATGCTCGATTCTGGCCAGAGGGGGAGCTGCCGCTTTACCGTCCACTTGTGACACTGAGTCCTTGATGGAGTACTTCCTAATTCTTATGCAGGCTGGTGGAAGGTTTTATGGTGTCTTAAATTAGTTAAATTAGCCTCCCCGCATAAAGCAGTACCTACATTTCCTACTTGACAGATAAAACTGTCTTTCTGGCTGCATAGGTCAACAGCAAGCTAGACTATTGATGGTCAGGAGCTCACTCAAACCCTGGCTGGATTTGAACTCATAACCTCTCAGTCAGTAGTGATTTAAAGTAGCTGGCTACTAACTAGCTGCACCACAGCCCGGTCCTTATGCCACAAGACTGTGTTGCTCTAACTGTTTATAATGTCAGTAAATCACCACTGGTGTCATTGCCAGTCTCAACCTAAACCAGTTTAATTACCTTTCAACATATGTTTCGTGGTTTCTGTACCTACAATGTTCTTACATATTGATATACAACATTTTGACCGTTGTAGTATCAAATTTCAGCAACAACTCTATAAATATTACTGGAGAAATTGGAAGCTAAATCCAGTTCCAACTAAGACTCATTGAATCAGTGGAATTTATATAAGTCTTAATATAACAAGTTTCCACACATTTAATTGATCTACTCTGGGCTGAGAATTTATTTTAAGCTACTAATTTAGTACAGAATCATGGAAAGCAGATTGCAAAAAAAAATCCTGTCGAGAAAAGATTTTTTCTCTCTGACTATATGTCCAATTTAATTTGGTGTCCATAATAATAATAATAATGTTGTTGTCGTTGTTGTTGGTTCTTTTAAAAATGCTAATCTTTTGGGGAACTGTTATTCCATAACAGAATCAGTATATGCCAATGCACTTCTCTTGTTACCAAAATAGTCTGTATGTCCTCTTTTTTTTTTCTTATAGAATTGCACAAATGTGGAGTGCCTAATGATCACTTGTTCAGTGGGACTCTTAGAAAGAGGAAGAAGCGCGGCACTGAAAATACGTTCTCTTTTATGGGCTTCAACATTTCTAAAGGTAAGGAAATTCTCTGAAGGGTGCCAGATATCCACTATGTACTGCAGCAGCCTTCTCCAAGTCTCCTACCCACCCCTATAACAAACTATTAGCAAGAAGTGTTCAAATATCACTTCATCAGCCATTTCAGACTGTGCTATCCAGAAAAGCACTGGAATTTCTGGATGTAAGTTAGAAACTGTACTGATGGGGTACATTTTGGGGTTTCTGCCCTTTGTTAAAAAGGTTTAGAAATACTCCATGTTTAGAATGTTTTAGTAAACAGTACACACAAGACCTGCTGAAAATGTAGCACACAAAGCAGACTTATATTATATGACATGATTCCCAGTTCTTTCATTTCTATTTCCAACCATTTATTGAGTTATGTTAGCTTTCAGGAATGGTGAGAGGCAAAGTAATGTGGTTCAGTCCAGCAACAACATTCCTACTGCACCAGTATATATCCTGCCAGCACATTTGCTCTAAAAATGCCTTGTGTGAATAATCTGAAATAAACAAGATTTATCAGAGTTGAATGAATACATCTGATCGAAATGGTCTTATGCACAATTTGCTACTGTATCTAGCTATTTCTCTGTTCAGGTCAATTTTTAGAAAAAATACTGTCTAGACTGCAATCCCCATAATCCAAAGCAGTGTTTCTCAACCTGGGGGTCATGAGGGGGGGTGTCAGAGTGGTTGCCAAAGACCATCACAAAACACAGTATTTTCTGTTGGTTATGGGGGTTTTGTGTGAGAAGTTTGGCCCAATGATCTCATTAGTAAGGTTCAGAATGCTCTTTGATTGTTGAACTACAAATCCCAGCAACTATTTATTTATTTATTTATTTATAAGTATTTATCATTTTGAGTCTGTGTAAGTGGATCCTACTGTTTAATTCTGTTTTAATGCTTGCATATATGTATATTTTAAATCATTCGGTCATACATTTAATGTAAGCCACTTTGAGTCTCCTTCGAGAGAGATAAAGTGGGTAATAATAATAACTACAACTCCCAAATGTCAAGGTCCCCAAACTCCACCAGTGTTCACATTTGGACATATTGAGTATTCCTGCCAAGTTTGATCCAGATCCATCATTGTTTGAGTCCACAGTGCTCTTTGGATGTGGGTGAACTACAACTCCAAAACTCAAGGGTCAATGCCCACCAAACACTTCCAGTATTTTCTGTCGGTCATGGGAGTTCTGTGTGCCAAGTTTGGTTCAGTTCCATCATTGGTGGAGTTCAGATTGCTATTTGATTGTAGGTGAACTATAAATCCCAGCAACTACACTCCCAAATGAAAAAATCACACACACACCCCAGTCTCACTAGTATTCAAATTTGGGCATTTGTGCCAAATTTGGTCCAGTGAATGAAAATACATCCGGCATATCAGATATTACATTATGATTCATAACAGTAGCAAAGTTATAGTTCTGAAGTATCAACAAAAATAATTTCATAGTTGGGGGTCACCACAACATGAGGAACTGTATAAAGTGGTTGCAGCATTAGGAAGGTTGAGAACCACTGATCTAGAGAATATAATCCAAAAGTGCACTCTTTCTAGCTCTGGTTTGTCTATGAGATAACTATCTTTGCAAAAAGTCTGTAGGTGGAATGGAAAGAGAGGCATGTTCCCCTTCCAAAGAACCGTGTAGTGTAGTGTAGTGTAGTGTGATGTGATGTGGCATAGCACAAAATAATAGTACAGCTTCTTCTTCCAGATAGGAAAGTGTAATCCCGCTGAATATTTAATCCATTGTGATTTATTTTTAGGTCTAAAAAACACATGTTTCATTTCAAAGAATTATGTGGGTTTTTTTCAAAATTAATTTATCCAATGACTTACTAACTTTATGCCATATTGGAATGGCGTTTGCTGCCTGTTCTGTCTCAGAGCAAGTTGTGGGCTGTCGCCTAAAAACCTAAACTTTTATCGCAAACTGCAGTTATATGAAGTGAGACGATTAAACATGTTTAGGTAAACAAGCAGCCAAGAGTCTCCCAATGAGCCAACAAAGATAATGAAGGCAGTTGAATCCATGCCAAGAAAGAACAGGGATCACTTTTGGCTTTACTTCAAAGCTTGAATGCAAACACGAACATATGTTAAATTTTGTCGTCAGACTAGCTGAACCAACAAATCATCAATTGCCTAATTCAGGCCAAGAAGAAATCGCCTTATTTGGTTACAGTACAATTGTTTCCATTAAGGCTTGTGTTAGCGTTCTCTCGGTGCCGTGGCAATGTGTAATTTATGACACATCTCATGTGTTTATAAAATAAACTCTAGTTGAAGAGTCAAACTGTCTATAACATGAAAACTTAGATAACTAGACCCAGAAAAGAAACTTTGGGAAGCTCTGGTTTTAAGTAGAAGAGCAGCCAGGAATACACAGTAGTTAACCTTTCCCCCACTGACCATTTTGTTAGGTATTTTCCTGCTTCAATTAGATTTAGGACAGAGAAGAGCTGACATCTCTGATGCTAGCTTCTGTGTCCAAAATCATAGCCTTCTGAAGTTCCTTTTCCTCCACAAAACATGGCCAACTGCTTTTCTCTCCTTGTTTGTTTGTTTGTTTGTTTGTTTGTTTGTTTGTTTGTTTGTTTGACTTAATGCATGGAGAGAAGGGGCTGTGTGTTCTTTGTTTTCTTGGGTGGGTGGACATTATCCACATATATTTGCCCAAATCACAGCTTGATAAAACAAAGTGGAATGTTGGCCAGGTGGTTCCAACATCCTTGGAGTGGAGAATCATCTCTGGAGTTTCCTCTAAAATGTATATGTGTTATCCAAGTTGCTGAACCTGTTTTGGAATGTCATAGAATGCTAGAGTTGGAAGAGACCACATGGGCCATCTAGTTCAACCCCCTGCCATGCAGGAAAAGTAGGGTTCACCCTCTCCTCTAAAGTTCAAACTAAGCTCCAAGGTGGATTCATCACCACCCATAACATGGTAACCACAATTTTAGAGTACAAATGGGCTCAATGTATCTGTTCCAAAGAACCTGCAGTTAACCATAGTTTTTCGTTTCATGAAACAGGCAAGCTGTGGTCAATTGTTTCCAGACAAATAACACTAACTTCCCAATCCTGTTTTGCTTGGAAGTTAGAAGGACCACATATCACAGGAGGCTTCATTCGCTGATGCAAAGAGACTGTGTGCAAAATGCATGGAGCACACTGCATACCTAGACCAATTAAGCCAGGATTTGGTTATCTGTACTAAGCCATCATATTTTAAAGATCTGTGGAGTAAAGTGTCAGGTCAGTTCCATCTCTTAAACAACAGGACATTTCCCCCTCGCACTATTTAACAGCAGCATTAATCATTTTTAAGGCTACACAGAGTGAAACGAGAAGGAGAAAATGGATAAAAAAGTGTTAATTTATGACCATTGGAATTTTTGCGCATGGACTAGCCACCAAATTTTGAAACTTCATGCACTAACTTTTAAAATGTGTATACATGAAAAGAAACATGCCATTTCTTCAATTGGATATTTTTCCAGGCTTTTTTTTTTTAGGCAACTAACACAGCAGGGAAAGTAGTGCAACTCATTTTTAGGCATGTTATAAATGCTTGTGTAGTCTCAATGCCCCCAAATTCTGAAATTGTATCTCTAGTATCTCCAGAGATACAAGAATAAAAGCCATATTGTGCTTGCCCTGTTTAGAAAGTTTGTTCCTAAAACCCACATATTTCAGATAGCCAGAACCCAATCTGGTCCTCCCGAAAACTCAGTTTAGTTCTCTGGAGTTCTTCGGAGGGCAAAGCCCCTTCCTCCATGATATTATTATTGAGTGTTTTCTCAGCTTTTGTATGGGCTTTTCTCCTTCTAGAAAGCCTGAAATGCCTCTCCTTTTAGCTTTAAGCTAAATCTATGTATTTGTAGCACCATCATTTCCTTTAACCTTTGAATCAGACCACCCTTGAATAACTGTGAAATCGGTTTCATCCCAAAAATTTCCACATAGGCTCTAAATTAGGTATCAGGCTATTGGGCATTGGAGGGCTGCATCCCTCCTGGAGATCATGAAAGAAATCTGGAGTCAGTTATTTTATGACTTGTATTTCATGTGCTTGAGCAGAAGCATTTTTCTGACAATTGATTCCTGGAAGTTAGATATCAAGCAGAGAAGAAGGATTGATGAACTCTCCAAGCGCACATTTGAAGTACATTTCTCACTCCCACCCAGAATGTACCAGACATCAGTGGAAATGAGCTGGAACCTCCCTTCCATCTATTTTCTTTTTAGTGAAGCAAGGCTGTAATTGTTACTGTAATATAATCAGAAAATTGTGTGTGTGTGTGTGTGTGTGTGTGTGTGTATTCACACGGAGCTTCAGTGTGGAGAACAAACTTTGGGACTACCACAGATCCTCTATCTAAGGAAAGTTAGTTTCAATGGTTCTCTCTCATAAGAACAAAGTTCATGATTCTGTGTGTTTTCGAAGGCTTTCATGGCCAGAATCACTGCGTTGCTGTGAGTTTTCTGGGCTGTATGGCCATGTTTCAGAAGCATTCTCTCCTGACATTTCATCTACATCTATGGCAGACATCCTCAGAGATATTGAGATCTGTTGGAAACTAGGCAAGTTTCCATAATTATATAAATCCCACTTGCCTAGTTTCCAACAGACCTCACAACCTCTGAGGATACCTGCCATATATGTGGGTGAAACATCAGGAGAGAATGCTTCTGGAACATGGCCACACAGCCCAAAAAACTCACAACAACCTATTTCATGTCCTCCAACTATATCTTGTCAAAATGAACTATGACAATTGCGTTGCTCATTCTAGTCAATACGGCCACGCTCCCACATTCTTGGGTTTAACTTTTCCAGATTTGATTATTGACAAATTTAATTCATATGTTCCCTCTAAGAATTGTTAGGTCCTCCATGGCAGTGGTGAATGTCCACTGGAGGACTCGAAGAGTCTTAGAAAGAATATATTAATTAAATCTGTAATCAAATCCGTGAATAATCAAGTCCATGAAC